ATGCTGAGTTTGATATCTTGGCTGAGTTCTAGCTCACTTAAAACTTTAGTTTCAAATTCCTAAAATATTGGGATGACCTAAGACTTCTTGGACAAAGAACAAAACTTGTTCAAAGTGTATTTGAAAACTTTGAGGATTATTTCTAAGATGCATTTATTCAATATCTGAAAATTAACAAAGTTTTGAATTCTTGAATGGGTCTTCGTTTAAATTTATTGGTCGCATATGTGTGTCCACTCATTAGTATAATCTGAATTTGGAGAATATTAAAGAAGAATCAAGGGTTAGAAGTAATTCATTTAAGATTGTTGATTAAAAGTTAATATTCAAATTCATCGAATCCGAAGGATTAATCACTAATTAGGTATTTCTCTGTAAAGATCTACGTGATTAATTGGATTGGAAATAATTTTTCCTATGTTGCTAACTCTCGATGCTTAATACACATCTTGATAAAATCTTGTAAGTATACTAATAAATTATTACTTAGCGTCTGTTTGGCCAGCATTAATCCCAAAATGAAAATGAGAAATAATGCCGTTGGACACCAAAACCAAGGATTGTGTGAGTGGAAAGTCAAAAATAATCAGCAGGTGGTGCCCCTCAACGGTACAAACTCTTCTAAATTTCCAGAAATAATGCAGGCCAAACAGGGGCTTAATTAATTTTTATGAGCGACTTTAGTGGGTGTTACAACTTGTTTCTCCCTAAAAATTGTTATTACTTTTCATATTGCTAAAATATTTCAAGAAAGCAATTAGCTTTTTGGTTAGTTTTAACTGACAATATAGCTAGTAAATACGATGGAGAAATAACGTTTCTCTTCTTTAATTTTGTCTAGCTTGATTTGTTCTAACACATCAATCAAGCCGAACATTTGTTAATATGTTTCAAATGTTATATACGTTAACCCCAAAAAATGAATCAACAAATGTTGGACCCACTCAAGCCAAGACAAGTACGGTTCTATTTTGTTCCTACTGGAATGATGACGGTAGCAATAAAGAAAGGGACGAGGGAGATACTTTGCAGCGAGAGACAAGATCGTTCGAGCTCCGACGGATGTAATGGAAGCAATTGCACTAGCCACGATTATCGAATTGAAACCAGAACTAATCTATGTAATCACGGACCAGAATATATGGAAGGATAGACGAAATGTTAATAATCTTTCTTTTGAGAGTTCAAATGTATTTTTGTACATAGCATTGTCCAGGTTTATATTTTCCATGCCCTGTTTCATTATAAAGAGGACCTATTTATATTGACTTGACTGATGTGGTGACCGTTGGATTGGAGTCACGTGGGCTCATCTCCCTAACTAAGACTTCACATCACTGTCTACTCATACAATTAATATATTGATAAGAGGTCAGCCGCACAATTTATACGTATTGAGTGCGTCGGAGAAATCCGAGACAGTTCTCAAGTGGAGGACGTTAGCATATTTCCCAACTTCTAGTCATTCAGTGTGAGAACTTCGGACGCTGTGTAAGGACCTCGGCCTTTTGACTTCTTTTGTGTGTT